TGTTTTATAATTAATACCTCGTTCATTTAAACATTCTTCAATAATGTCATCATTTTGTTTATATTGCAAATTTTTTTCTGAAAGCATTTTTTTCCAATGAATACAATTTAAGTCTTCTTGAATTAATATTATAGATGTTTCAGAGGATGGTAACCAAAATGTAGAAAATATTAAATCTATGGAAGTTACTCCTTTTGATTCTGAAATAGAGGGTAATAAGATTCCAGATAGTGGTTGTTTTTGTACACCATGTATTGAATATATTTGATTGCTTTTAGTTTTTATTTCTCTCTTTTTTTTTTGTTTTTTTAATTTTATTTCATATTTATGCTCTAATTCTAATTTTGGTTTAAAATTAGTCTCTTTTTTTTTATACCAATTTTTTATTAATTTTTTTTGTTTAAAATTTTTTATTATAGCATCTTCTGTCATTTTAATATTAGAAAACTTATAAGCATAAGTTTTTACATCCTAAAAAAAAAAAAAAGAATTCTTTGTGTTTTTTCTATAGAACGTATTTTTTAATAACAATTAGTGATATTACCATAGAATTAACTGTTTCTTTTGTTTTATTTATGTTATAATTAATTATTCTTTTATTTAATATTTTATTATTCTCATCAACATTTCTATTTTTTTTAATATTCAGAAAATCTGCAGTATTAAATGTTTCAAATTTATTTGTTTTATAATTAATATTATTCTTAAGCATGTTTTTTATTGAATGATTTTTGTTGTCAGGTTGATTGATAAATTTGAAATCTAAATTTGAATTACTTCTTTGTTCTCGTTCTTTATTTTCTTCTTGTTGATAATCTATTGACTCTTCTTGTAAATTAATTTTATTATTTTCATTATATAATATATCATAATCTTTAGTTTGTATATTATTTTGAATCCATTTATTCTCGTTTTTCAAAATATCATTTTGATTATTAATTGCAAATTTTTTATGTTCCATGTGTTGTTCAGTTTCATAATAATCTTCTTGTCTTTGTTTAAAATTTTCTTTATCTTCATAAATTTTCGATAATTGTTCAGATACAAAAGGAATATTTTCATGTAATTCTATTCTGGCATTCAAAGAATTATTATATTCTAAAAATTTCCAGTCTTCAGAAAAATATAATGATATACCAGGTGGTCCAACATGTTGGCTCAAGGCATATAAATTTGTAATTAGAGTAGAATTAAACCGTAGCTTACAAAGATCAGCATGTGATTCTGATATAAAATCTTCATTTTTTAAAAACTGATATTTTTCTTTAATTCCTTCGTAGTTTAAACAATCAACTGACCAATGTAAAAACCAATCATTTCCAAATCCTTCAACAGTAACAGATAAACCAGACATTTCTCTACTTAAACTATCTTCTATCGGTTTTTCTAATAAAGGTTTTCCGGTTTTTCCATCTATAATTGTTGCAACTGTGTAATAATATATTGGAAAACCTAAACCTATTTGATGTTTTACCATAAAATCTGGAATATTATCATCATTATAATAACCAGGAATAGGTATACTTATTACTTCAGAATTAGGTACTGTATAATTCCAAATAGGTTCAAAGGTCAATCCATTATAAACTATTATTGTAGAATTAAACATAGCAGCAACAATATCTTCAATTCCATCTAGTGTTACATCAACTAAAATTGGAGGTAATAAAGTTCCTTTTCCTGTATCATGATGTAATTTTCGTAATTTCTATAAATATATAATATAATATAATAAATTATTTATATATTTTCTTTGAATATTAAAGGAACTTACCAAATTGCCATATATTAAATTTACTTGAGAAATTATATATAATCCACTTGATTGTTTCTGACTGCTAGTAACAAGAATAAAAATATTTTCTCCATCAGGATGAATCAGTTTTTGAGGTGCTAGAAAAAGTTGCTCTGTATTTGGTAAAACTGAATTATGTATAATATTCCCATTGATTCCTGATATTATAAGAACTTCGCTAGTATGAATTTTCCTTGAATGTATAACATGTGATGCAATAATATCTCCAACATCATCTCCATTAATATCAGCAATAAATCTAGCATCATAAATATCTGAGAATTTCCATTCTTCTAAAATTGATAAATCTCGAACTGGAATTTCCCATATACTAGTCCCATTATAGCCATTAACTGCATGAAGTATTCCATTCCGACCACATATAATACAATCTTTAATTTTATCATTTGTTAAATCTAAATCACAATCAATTGAGAAAATTGCATGAGCTGTCCAATGTATCCAGAGTATATCTCCTGTTTTACCATTTAAAGCTAAAACTCCACCAAAACATGGAACTTGGCCATTAAAATATGATGTACAAGCATATTCTGGAATATTCATTATATCCAATCCTGTATGTCAAAATAATATTAATTTTTTATACATAATTACATTAATATCTATCATATTTTAATATCTTCATATTTTAAATCAGATATCAAATATTAAAATTAAATATATTATAAAAATGATATACCTTACAAATTGAAATATTTATTCTACAAAATCATAAGACTAAAAGTTAAAACCTGTAAATTAAGCTTTTAAATAAATCCTGATAAGTAAATAAAAAATAAGTGTGGTAAAATGTTTATTTATATATAAAAACCTGTACTAAATCCAATAATAATATCTTCAATTCCATCATCATTTACATCATTGCTTCTTATTGGAGATTCTGATGTTAATTTTGGCAATGATTTAGTCCATAAAATTTTTGATGTAAGAGATGTGCATGGTATTATATTAGATTCGTGTAAAGAATCTTTAAGATTATATGATAGCCAATTTTTTAAGATTGACATTGGTCCAGGTATTACATTTATAATATATATACATAATGTAGTTAAACTTAATAATATTATCAATGCTATAAATCCAAAACCAGCCTTATTTAAAAATCCATATGTTTTAAAATTATATGATTTTTTATATTTTCTATGAGGTGCCATTAAAGGCCGTTTAACTCCTCTATCATTTAATTTTAATTTATTTTTTCCATCTCTGATAAATACTTCATCATCAATATCTGTTAAATCTTCATCATAACTATCTCGTTCAACTAATTTAGGCAAAATTGCAGAAACAGCAGACATATTGATTATCTATAGAATTTTTATATTTTTAAAATATTTTGTTTTTGTAATAAAATCTAAGCTATTAATTGCTAATAATTTAATGCAATATAAATTTTAAATTATAAATAAAATATATTAAAAATTAATAATTTGTTATATTTCTAAATATTAATCATTATATATGAAAATATTTTCAAATTAAAATAAAAAATAAAAAATAAATTTATTAAAATAACAAAATTAAAAAATTTAAATAGAATGTAAAAAAATATTAAAATTTTAAAAGTTATTTAATATAATGTTTTTTTATAT